TCAGCGTCAGGGAGGAGACGCTGGAGAAAGAAACGGCGGAGAAGGCGGAGGCGACGTCGTCGGATGAGAGTGATAATTAACATTTTAAAAGTGTGTATTGACTCGTTAATGAAGCCGGTGTTGGCATGTTAGAAATCGGAGTTAATGTGTGCGTTAGATCTAATTTAATTTAGCGAAACTCGTTTATGAAGCGGGGGCGGCCAAACAAAACAACAGTTTTAGCGAGTGAGCAAACACTGCCTTCCAGTGCCACGTAATACGGCCATGCACAACCCATTTGTTACTTGTTAGCTAGTGTTTGGTTTGAACAAGGCGAGGAGCGGGCGGGGTGGGGCTGTACGGGGATAAATCTGGCTTCAAGGGCGCATATTAAAAATGGGTCAAGGTGCATCCACTGCTTCTTTAAAGTATTTTTTGAATCAAAGTATTCAACACTTTAAAATATGTTTTAAATATTTTAAAATATTTTTTGTTTTAATATTGACTACACAAAAAGATATTTTTAACTGCTAAGTGCACCTAAAAAAGCTTTTAAGATATTAAATGTAACAAAAAAAATATTTTACAGTACCTGCAAAGATGCTTTAATGCTGACTTTAAATTGCTGAAGGCATCTTAACTCGTTAAAAATTTCAACTTTAATAATAATAAAGTATTTTTATTATGGGCCCAGTTCTGACCATTTAGAATATTATAATCTTATCATCTATCATCATTTGTCGCCTGAGGATAAAAGCACAAGACGTGTTTTCACCCAACACCGTAAAAGTCTCCTCAGAAGAGTGACCAAAGAGATATACCTCAAAGGCTCAAACAGTACGGTGTCACGCGTCACTCTTTTCACTCCTCTGTCCGTTGGTGCTTTCACTTCCTCACTGATAAGCAATAGCAGTGCCAGGTCAATGGAATCTCACGGTGACCACACGCATCATCACCATGACCATAGCGACGGTCACCAGCACCAGCACCAGCACCACCATTCCCATGGAGATTCAGGCTCGCAGTCCTGGGTAGGAGCCGATGGGAGGGTGTACCATAGCCACGATGGTCTAGCACCACATTCTCACGAGCCCATCTACTCGCCGGGCTTCTTCAACAGAAGAGCTCCTCCTCTTCTTAACAGAGATTTCAACGAAAGAGCTTTCACTGTTGGTATCGGTGGACCAGTCGGTACTGGGTATCTTATCCCAACCCTTCATATGAATTTTCCCCTTTTAGCTGGTAATTGATATCTCTTGTACCTCTGGAATGAGAAAATAGTAATCGGTGGTTACTATTTCTCTGTCGGCCTCTGCATCCTGAGAATGAAAATATATAAGCAGAAATCAGCAGGAATCGATTTGGAAAACTTTTCGGAAAATATCTAGACAAAGTAATGCCTTTGAGTTACTTGCCTCTTGCTAGTTTAGCGCCTAGATTGACACGATGGTCGTTTAAATTCGTTGTGTTCAGTGGCAACTGGTTGCTTAAGTTTGTGCATAGCTAAAGATAACGCCTTTAACGAACTTGCCTCGACCTAAAATGTTTTCTGAAAAATAAGTGGCACAAGGAAAGAATATAAATATATATATATATATTTATCCAGTTTATCTCTTTTTCAACCTTTTTTCCCCCTCTCCTGCAATTTATATATTTTTTAAAAAGAATTAAGTTGAGAGTATCCAACTGAGGCATAATGATGATACCGTTTTTGAATTATCAGTTTCATTCCCGATAAATTGCTAAATTAGTCGGTGTTTTTTCATAAGATAATTCGTCTGCTTGCTACGATATCTGGAATAGAAAGACCAAAACTCAACCGATTACTTTTTGCTTAAATGTGGAGCAGTGAACATATTACAACCTAGAAAGGGGCAACATTGATATGTTTTCTTAAGAGTTTTTTAATATTACAGACAAAAGGTTTCTACATTTTGGACAAACGGTATTTTATTTCCCTTGAAATATAGTCGTGGATGATGAGGGGATGTCAAACACTTGAAACGTCTCCCTGAAATGTCACGGTGGGATTTTTGCTGTAGTTTCGCTGTTTTACTGCAAACAACATGTAATTGATGTTGACGGGTTATGAATGATTTCTCCGTGCAGGAAAACAGCTTTGATGTTGGCCCTGTGTGAACACTTACGGGACAAATACAGCCTTGCTGCAGTAAGTACTTAGTATATATATTTTGAGAAACTGAAATTCTTGAATTTTAAGAAACTATTTATTTTTATCTTCTTTCTTTCTACCTTTGTTTTTTTTTTTTGGGTCTTAGATGGTGGGTCTTCTGGAATGATGGAGTAGACAACTGAAGGAATTATAAATATATCTCTGAAGCTGTCATGAATCTTTAGCTTAGGTCTTAGGTATCAGGTTGCCAAATATGATTGAATCATACAGCAAACTGTGGAATCAACCATCGTGTGTTGGCCTTCTAGCTTGTGTATCAAGTTGACGTGGAGTACTTAAGCGATAAATCAATGCTTCTTAGTCTAAGTTTAAGCAATGAAGATCAGTTTGTATTGTTGGCATGGTCTCTTGTTGGCCCAGTTGCTCTTATATTTTTGGTAGTAGTTCAAGTCTGTTTCTATTGATGTGGTTATTCGCTTAGTTTTATCTATGAGAAATGATGTGCTCATTGTGATTGTACCACTCTTTGAGCTATATCTCTAGTCCAAAGTTAAAGATACTTCTTTCCAAGAGTCTCTATGTTTCTATTTTGTGAGACAGGTTAGTAAAACTTAATTCCTTTCAGGTTACAAATGATATATTCACTAAAGAGGATGGTGAATTCTTGGTGAAACATAAAGCACTTCCAGAGGAAAGGATACGGGCGATAGAAACTGGAGGATGCCCACATGCTGCAGTTCGAGAGGATATCAGTATTAATCTTGGACCATTGGAGGAGCTATCCAACTTGTTCAAAGCAGATATACTTCTTTGTGAATCTGGTGGAGGTAATTACGTCGATAACTGGACTTTAGGGGTCTATAATTTAAGCTGAGTCAGGATATTTTTACTTGGTTTCATTAATGTCAATGAAACATGGAGCAGGGATATTTGTTCTTACATGCATTTCTTGCTGCAAGAAAAAACAGATCTATCCCAAAAAGTTTTTGAACATCAACCCTGGGTTTTTGTTGCAGATAATCTAGCAGCCAATTTCAGCAGGGAGCTAGCAGACTATATCATTTACATAATAGATGTATCTGGTGGTGACAAAATTCCTCGGAAGGGTGGTCCTGGAATAACACAAGCAGACCTTCTCGTATGTGCTAAACGCGTATATATATTTTTGATTGTGACACTTTCGAAAAAGCATTAATCATAAATGTTGCTGTTTAACTTGACTAATCTCTTTAAAAAAATGATCTTGGAACCTATTGGAGTTGGTTTCCAGGTAATAAACAAGACTGACCTTGCAGCAGCAGTTGGAGCAGATTTGGCAGTCATGGAGCGGGATGCTCTTCGGATGCGAGATGGGGGACCTTTTGTCTTTGCACAGGTTTGTTAATTTTAGCAGTAGCAGATTTGGAGTTTCTCCAGCTGCTGGACTACTATTATTTGGCCCAACTTTCCCTCTATCTTCCTTATTTCTTGGGTTATGGATCTCAGTAGCGGTTGTGGTGGGCATAGCGGGCCCATCACATTCTCTTTGGAGCATTGTCAGGTTCTTCTGATTTTAACCCTGAATTTCTTTTTCTATTTACAAAACTTCAAGTTGGATGTTGAAGAGTTATTTTATCTTACCAATGAAACTTTAATAGACAAAAGTGGGTGTGAGCGAAATTTCAATGTCACGGTGTGTATAATTATCGCCCATATGCTTTTAGCTCGTGAGCAGCTTTTTAAGTTCTTGAATACTTTTTTATAACTGAGATGTTAGATAAGACAATCCACTCCTTGTTCGAACCCGCTACTCACCCAGCGTTGGGTATTTTCCCCATTTCCAAATTTCAGAATCTTAGGCGCATTACTTTCTAGCTCCAACTTTCTTCTTCCTGCCTTTTTGGGTAATTTTTAACAAAAGAACAGGATCCTTAAATTACTCATGTTTGGCTCCTTTTGAACATGTCATTGTTGTCCATGTTTACGATTACCTGAAATTATCTGTGTACAGATGAAGCATAGGATTGGGGTAGAAGAGATTGCGAATCATGTGTTGCAATCATGGGAAGCAGCTACTGGAAAGAAACGTCATTGACGTTTCTGTGAAAACCGGTGTCACATGTTCTGTCATTTCATGAATATTACTGTAAACTTCTCAAAACATGTTTATGTGTTTATGCGAACTCTCCTTTCCCTTTACTTTGTGTTGCTGTTACGAGTTACGGTGCTCATGGACTTTCAGAAAAACAGTAAAAATAAGAAAATCCTATTAGCCTCGTCTTTTAAAGCCTCAAAATTATTGATAATTCGATATTTTTCTTTTTCTTTTTTTGGTACAAAAGAATTGGATATTTTTCTTGTATTTTCAAAGGTTCGCCCCAAAAAAAAAAAAGGAATGAAAGAAGTTATAAATCTTCTTGAGTAAGATGCCTATTGATCATGATTTTATTACTGGATCTTGTACCACTGAGGAAAACTGATGTTATGATTTCCGTCACAAATCCCTTTGCAAACTTATATGAGAAGCATTTCTGGGATCATCTTATTGGTCATTCAGATTCAGGGAATAAGCATGATGACCTCCTTCTCCGAGACATAACCTTATTTCAGCCTCGCTATTACATGATAGCTTAAACTCGAAGTATGGATGATTGCTTGCTTGTTCATGAAGATGCAATTGCAAGGCAACCCAGTTCATGAAAAACACCACATGCTTTTATTTCAAGCCTTGCTATTCTGTCATTCCTTTAAAATATTCCTCTTACATAATCCCTGTGACATAGTGGATGGACAGAAAATTTTTATATCCCAAAAGCCATACATAATTTAGACTTTAATCACGTATGTTTTCTAGAACACACTTAAATTTGATTCCCAACTTAAATATAGTCATCAGTGCACAAACTAGTCGCACAATCATCAATCAATTCTTCAGTTCATATCCACACTGCCACTATCACATAGAAAATTCCAATTTACATATAAAGGGAATGTCCATAACAAAAAGGAGAGGAAAAAGAAGAAGAAAACGTGGCAACTTGCGCAAATAAAGTTTACTTTTTAAAGAATGCTCTTCATAAAACCACTACCTTCCACTTGCACAAAGTGCAGACCCCAAAAAAATATTGTGAAGGTGAGCCAATCCCCATAGTTAAAAGAAACTATAGACAAATGGACAGTTTAAAAAAAAAAAAAAACCTTTATTGGTCAAACAAGTTGCTAAGTGCATTTTTCTTCCCACACGCCACTGGTAATAACTCATTCTGGTTCTGCAGATGAGGAATGTCTTGAGCAGAAGGCGCAGTTGACTCTGTGCCTGGAATCACCCTTTGCTTTTTTATGTACTCCATTTTGTCTTGTAAGAGGTAAATCAATGCAACGCAAGAGACTTGTGCTGTGAAGAGGATAGTCCAAAGCGTTATGCTTTTTGAGGTTCTCTCATGGTAGGCTTTGAGACCTGTGTAAATGTTGATGATCGCCACAAATGAGATTATTGTCCCTAATATCCAGTGAACAAAGTACCAATAAGTCCTCTCTTTCCTTTGCCTGCAATAAAGGGTTATGGTCATGCAAAGATAGTCATGAGGGAAACTAGTGAGAAGATGGAAATCAACCTGTGAGGCCTGAAAAATCCTATCAAAGCTTGAACCAATATAGCACCATAAAGTGCAAGGCCTATTCTTTGATGGTTGTTATCAAATGAATTCTCAAAGTTTTTCAGGGACATGACAGCTCCAGCTGTAGCAAGAAGCGCTGAGAGCATCTGTTAGAATTTAGATGAAGTGTTACGCTCTGTGCAATCAAGGAGAGGATAAAAATTAAAGATGCATTAAAATATCCATGACTTGTAAAATCAATTTAGTTAATGAACAGTGATTTTACCAGCTACTTGTAACTGAAAATCATAAACTATGAATGAAAGCAAATCTAAGTAATAACGTCACAGTTAAGGTCTAAGTGGATATGAATTCTTAAAAAAAGTTATGGGCGGACCATCACTAACTAAAGTTAAAGTTGGGTAAACCAGCTACTTGTAACTGAAAATCATAAACTATGAATGAAAGCAAATCTAAGTAATAATGTCACAGTTAAGGTCTAAGTGGATATGAATTCTTAAAAAAAGTTATGGGCGGACCATCACTAACTAAAGTTAAAGTTGGGTAATGATTATGTTTTAAACAAAGATCGGAACTCGAATGATGGCAACCTGCGACTTTCATGAAGCGTCTTTAACTTCACTCAAATTAATTCAATTACCACTGCAGTTAACATTTATCAGTAAAAAGAAACAATTTTAACAAGAACTAGTAGGGAGCTATCAGCAAAAGGAAAAAAAGAACAAATAGGAAGAAATTTATGACCTGAAATGCAACATGGAGATAAAAGAGGACCCTACTCTTTGTTGATCCATTTCCCTCTCTACTTGACACTCTGATAGCAAGTATCCCTAATGGCATTGAGAATCCCATCGAAGCCCACAGTAGCAATCCATGAAGTGCTATGTCAGATGTCTCATGAGAATTGATCTGCTAAATTAACTTTCAGTAGTTAGACACTCAATTATCGTATCAGCATTAGAAAGCCTATTACGTTTCCAGTTGATTAACTACATGTTTGGTTCTACACGGGCATTTGCAGCTTATCAGTTTATCCCAGGAAAATAGTAGCGAAGGCTTTTTCACATATAAATTTTGCGAAATAGTATTTGATATTGCCAATATACAATCTGTCATCTCTAGAAGAAAAGAGAAGAAGGAAAAGCAGAAGAAGCAATTGTTCAGTTGGTTTACCTTGTTGATTTTGTGATTTGAGCTCTTGTGACTGCCAGACTGACTCACCTCCTTAAGGAATGAACACTCAGTGAAAGGAAGAGCAGAAACATAACATGAAAGGATAAAAATGCAGACTTGCCTCCAAGAAATATGCATTCTTCAATGCCTCAGAACAAATAAGAACAGCAGCACAAGCCCCACTAATAATCACAGTACTCCTCTTCTATGTGTGCGCTTCAAGTTAAAGATGCTTTATATATGATTGTTCTTGAGACGGTAGAGAGAGCTTTTGAAGTGTGGTGAAGACACTGCATGCACTTTTTGTATAAAGAAGCTAAAAGGAGGATTAGTATTTGAATACTAAAAAGTTGCTGCAGTGGCTACAAAACCCATAAACACGTCCAATATGGGGTAGTTGAACATATGTATGTATTGATTATAGTTTAGATGAAAGAGAAAAGGGAGGGAGGAGTAAGATCTCATTTTCAAATGTGGGGTTTGTTGACATATGCACACACTGTCCAGTGTCAAGGACTCGTTGAATTATAAACATAAATGGTCAAAATCCGATGGATGCATAAGGTGCTTGATTTGAGGTGGACAGTTTGTAAAGGTAAACGAGGGTAAGATTCAAAGACAAAGGTCAAACCCCACCTTATTCCTCTCTACGCTAATTATTTATCACTTTTATTCGTACCTTTTTTCTTTTTAATTTGCAGAATTGATATAATTACTACTTATGTATCTTGACTTGTTTCACACCCACATATATAAAAAGATGCGTTGGGTGAATTCAGTAAATCTTGTGAATTTAAAAGTTCAGGTGATGTAAAGGTAAAATATTAAAATTAAAAATTATAAACAGAAATTTGTTTAAAAGTAGTTGCTTCTCTCTCCAGCTTAATTTTGTTTGTTAGATTTGGATAAGAGAAAAGAAATAGATTCTCACGGTAAAGGATCACTTCTAGAATGAAGACCACAAAATTCCTCACAAATCCTACTATCTTTGCTCCAATATATTTGATTTCGATTTCAATTCAATTTCCTATATATATAGTTTACGTGAATAAACATGATAGCGTTATCCACGTGAAGCAATTTTAGTTGCTAACCTTGGCTTGGAATCGCTAGAGTGACAGGCACCAACGAACACTAGTGATGGCATAAGTTCGGTCGCTGAGTCTTGTGTCAAAAGCTCATGACCCCTTACACTGTGGCACATAAGTTCGGTCCTTCGGAGAGTTTTAAGTTTTAAAGGTTAAACTGCATCTCGTACCATACAATATTTTGCTAAATGCACCTGCACTTTAAAATATTTTTTAATCACGTCTAGCACTCTAAAGTTTTTTTTTTTTTATCTTCATACTGGATGCACCAAAAAATATTTTTAGGTATTGGATGTACCTAAAAAATACATCAGGATGCTCATGCTGGATGTACAAAAAATACTTCAAGATGCTTAACATATGCAAAAAAAAAAAAAACTTCAGAATGCTAGATACATCACAAAATATTTAAATATACTAAATACACTTATAAAAATACTTCGAAATGCTGAATACATCTCAACCTAAGTTTTAATATAGCCTATTTTAAAAAGGGAAAACCATATTGAAGGTACCTATACTTTCTCTCAATTTTTAATTTGGTACCTATGTGTTTTTTTCCCTTTAATTAAACATTTAATTTTATCTTTTTAGCAACATTAGCTCTTATAACTTTGTTCTATTGATATTTTTAGTCTCTACATAAGGATTAATGATGTTAATAAAGGAAAAATAAAGATTTAGTTAAGAACAAAAAACACATAGGTACCAAATTGAAAATTGAAAAAAAGTATAGGTACCTCTAATATGGTTTTCCCTTTTAAAAATAGTTCAAGTTCGTCCTCTCTTGAGCACCGTTATATCCATTTATTTCGTAACTAAATATATTGCTCTCACATCATGTATGTGGGAATGAAGATGATACGGTAATAGTTAGGAGAGGAAGAGGGGACAAATTGGAATGGCAGGAACAATGATGAGGACGAGAGTGGCATTAATTAATGGGCACCAATACCATAGAGGGAGTGGTGGTTGCCAATTCTCAATCTGCGGCCGCCAACGCCATCATATTGTTGCCAATTTAAGTCATGCAGTGGCACTGCCATCTGTCTCCCTTTGCTCCCAAAAGGCATTGGAGCCACACCACCAGCACTTTCCATGTAGATCCAGAGCCATCAGAACACAAAGGCATACATGTGAGAGCTTGATTTCATCTGTGATTATTAGTAGAACTCCAAGATAGACAAAAATTTATGTTCCTTTCTTTCTACTGAGTTATAAAAAAGATTAAGATTATATCCAATAAAAATATAAAAATAACAAGACTACAATCCAATGACAGCGTACTATAATTCTCAACAAAATCAAGCAAGAACAAGAGGGGGCGTTTCTGCCAAAAAAGGCCCCAAGTGTTACTCTTTTCCGCCTACACATTACATAAACAAATTGGGCCTTGATGCCTTGTATGTGGTCTTCAGCGTTCTTGTGGGTGGTCTGAACTTCCTGAAAACCAATGGGAACTTGATTTTGGAGTTGTGGAACTGTTTGGTGCTCTCCCTTTTGCAAAGCTTTACTGGGATCGTGGCGGTCTTAATAATTTGAATGCAGGGGGACCGGACCCTGTGGCGGGAAGCCATCTCATTGTACATCTGCTCCACAGCACCATTTAGAGTGGTATCACGGTATTCCTTGTACATGTTGTGGTAGCCAGTCCTGCTCTGAAACCGCAACCAAATACCATAGTTCTTTATCTTTGTTGGGTTCTTCTCAAAGATCTGAGAGCAATAGAAACTACATGAACTTAAATAACTAAACTATTTTTTCTTTTTGTCTGATAAAAATGTACGGGTTTTACTATTCATCGTAGAAACAAACAATCAATAGCATAAAACCTCAATGCATGTTGAGATTTAAGTTCACAAGAAAGCTGTAGCTAACAATGTACTTCAAAGTCAACTGAAGGGTAAAGATTACTTCGACACAGGCAAGATGCATGGATGAACAGCATGCAAGCATGCATACTTCCAAATCGATAATGCCCAAAAGCAATTCAAAATCAAAAAAGCCCATTAAGATTCCGTCCCTTTTTAATATCCATCTACCAGAAATAAAAGGAAAGTACAGAAGGGAAGCAAAGTAGCAAAAAATGCAAGAATAAGATATATGGCACAGAATAGTGGACTGCAAGCAAACTAGTCGGCTTAATGCAATTGAAAACAAGTCAGGGTTCAAAATGATATTGAACCACAAAAACACTTGAACAAGACATGTACAATTTGGTAAATATATAAATTCAAGGTTAACACGGTGGCAGATGGAAACCATACTGCGCATCTCAAATTACGAGAAACTTTAGTATTCATCTCTAATATCCTCAGGGTTATTTTAGAAATCAGCAGCAAGCCACACTCTTGGACACAGAAAGAGTTCAAAATATGAGATTAATTCAACAAAAAGATTACATAGGGAAAACATTAGACCTGACAGAATAGACAGTTAATAAATTAATTTCATAAATGTGCAAAATCAACATCACTAGGCAATGACATGTCATTACTGGCTAATAACTGATTCATTTGCAGCAGGGATCACAAAGGCAAAACTCTGGATTGAAATCAAACCATGCATGTATTTTCCAACTGTACACACAGGAGTAAATGGGCGCCATAATTCATGAACAGCAAAATTTAATACGCCAAACAGAATTCCGGCCGAGAAAATACACCAAATAAAAATTAACATCAGTCACATTTTACATTTGTTGGAGTTGGCGTACAAGTTCAACAAGACTAGACAAGATAATAAAGACCACGGTGAAAAGAGATGGCACGGCGACAAAAATAATCTTTTCAAGCAATGAATCTAACCAAAAGAAAAGTTGTTCTTGGCGAGATACGGTCCAAATACATACAACATAAAAATTGAAGGACACGTAAGTGAACTCATACCTCATTGATAGCAAGCACTTGACCGCTGCTCTTTTTGACCTTCTTCAGTTTCCTCAGAAAATACCTAGTTCAAAGAGATCAGCCAATCCAGAATATCAGATTAACCCGCTGGAACCAGAATTGGATTCACTTAGCATAAACTTCAGCATTTTCTCGAGCTGAAGCATTAAACAAAACTGAACCCACATATGGATCACGAACAAAACACTTTATCAGAACTTCGACTTGGCTCGAACCTCGTTAGTGGCCCATAACTTCATGCGGTAAATTTTCGGGTGTTCATCCGATTCTGTAGGGAGAGCCCTCCCAACGACTTGATACTGATGGAACTGCGAACCAAAAAGAATGTTAAGAAAGAGCTGAGGGTACCAAAATCTCAAATGGCCAGCTATATAATTGTCAGGCTTCAATTAGATGAATTGGGCATGAAGGAACATAAATCACTTGACGAATTAGAAATTCAACAACAGTAAGTTTGATTCAATAGGCAGATGAGCCTTCTCACCCTGAAAGTAACCATTTTTTCAAAGCAGGTTGCAGGACGACTAGAACTCCCAAGGCTTCCTCTGTGTCCCACTCAAAGGAAGGAGAGCCCAGCATTTCGTTACGGTTATGCAGGAGCCAATAACCCTACTCGGGAAAGAAGCCTTCGAGCCGTGAGCTTTTTTATTTTTGGATTTTTTTTCCCTCGTCATAAGCTATTAGCACATCCTATGTGAAAAAAGATATAATAAATGTATTAATTCTGACGGGAAAATTTTTTTTAACTAAACCCTTGCATGCCATTATTCTTTTATACTATTTTTTATTTCTAATTATAATATCTTATTTATGAATCACAAACGAGATCTTATAATTAAAATAAGAGGTAGTATATATATATATCTTTGCGTTCAACAAAATAGATCTAATTTGGTCCCAAAAAAAACATAATACATAAAAGACTTTCTGATATATCCATTGCATCTGCTAGGAACAATTTTCACGAGGAAAAAAAAATATGAGAGCGAGGATATCAATTTCATGAGAGGCTAGTTTCTTTTATTATATCCAATCCTGTTAGTATCTGTCTAGCTATATATATGAATTATGTCTTGTATTTGGCATGGACGTAGTATTACACAATGGCTTTTTTTCTTTTTGTGTGAACATGAGTTTTAAAAGCTAGAGACCAAAAGTAAGGTTGAGTAACCTTTTGACACGAGAGAAACAAAAACAGAGGATGAGCTCGATTTAAAAAGTTTGAAAAAGTGTGGTTAAAAATTTTTATTTGATCTTTATTATTTTTTTATGTTATATTTTTTATTTATTAAAATTTTAAAACTTTATTTTTTTAATTTTTTAAATTGAGCTCTTGAAAAAATTGTTCTCTCTTTCTTTTTCTTTCCTTTCTCTCATGCCAAAGTTTCCAGCTTAACGGCCCACTATGGTGTCTGGCCCAAAAAGGAACGACCCACCACAGGAGAGTGAAAGTGGAAAAATAGTAAAAGTAATGGGTCGTTAAGAAATTATGTTAACCTGAAAGGCAGTTCAGCAAATTTTGTTATTTTCCTGCAAAACCCTAGTCCGTAGTCTATCCTCTTTTATATAGCGAAAGCAGGGGCCGGCTTCCTCTCCCACTTGGCCGGTTCTCAGAACGAGCAGGAGGAGCGACTCCGCAACCTTAACCCTAGCGTCCGACCTCATTGTCTCGCAACCATGGTAAGGAAATCGCATTGCGACTCATTTTCTTTTTGATCTCCTTTTCGTGCACATGCTGTCTTACTTAATGTTTGAACTACCAATTGTGTAGTTTGACTTGTCTGAGGGAATCAATCGATAAAAGTTTACGACTTTAGTCTATATAGTGAATGATAATCTTTAGCCTCTGAATGCTGGGTCGTCTGCAATGTCAATAAATCCATTTTTTGTGCCATGGTTTCTCCAATTTATTACGAATTTAAACAGCAGTAGAGGAGACAAGTAATATATTTTGCTAAACCTGACGCGGTCGCAAATTCTTCGAGCGGACATTGATTTCTTGAAGCTGTTTGCCTTAATGTGGTTAAATAACTGATATATTTGGTCTGGTGGAGCACTCCATATTTTTGAAAGCAAGATCAAAGCTGAAGTCTTGAGATTTAATTTTGTTTCTGTTTAAGACGCGCAAGATGGGATCAATTATAATTTGCTATTTATGTTTTGTAGTCAAGGAGAAAGGTAAGAGAGCCAAAGGAAGAGAATGTCACCCTTGGCCCAACCGTAAGAGATGGTGAACATGTTTTCGGTGTAGCCCATATTTATGCATCATTTAACGACACCTTCATCGTGAGTATATGCAGAAGATTTTATCCTTTGTAGATTGGATTGCTTAAGTCAGGTTTTTATTGATTTTTTTTTAAATTGTTTACAGCACGTGACTGATTTGTCCGGGAGAGAAACGCTTGTCCGCATCACTGGTAAGCTTGTTCCTCATTCGTTCTTCGGATGTAATGAACCGAGTATTACCATTTAGTTGCCATCATTCCTATTTCCAGTTTTTATACTAACTAGAAAGAGCTGGGCTGAGTGAACTGCGCTATCTATGAGCGTTCTCATAATTGATCAATCTGTAATGTCTATACATTTTATATCTGTAGGACTAGCATTTAATTGAAGTGTTTTACCCTATGCCAGCTTTGTTATCAACACAACATATTACCGTGCCCATTATTCACTTGGAAATCTGTCTTAACTGTTCAGGAATTATCATTAGGTATATTTCTCTTTTCATGGTCATGTGATAACTATTGGGGTCTCGTGATCTGTCTCATGATTTTAGGTGGAATGAAGGTTAAAGCTGACAGGGATGAGTCTTCCCCATACGCTGCTATGCTTGCTGCGCAGGATGTATCTTCTAGATGCAAGGTTTGAGGGACTTTCTTGATAATTTTTGTTATTTCAGTTGGTCGCACTGTAAAATTATGATGCACATATTAATTTTAATAATATGTTATGTAATTAAGTAATAAGCTAGATACTGAATACATATTCATTGACTGAGTCCAAACATTCTGGGACAGGAACTTGGCATCACTGCTCTTCATATCAAGCTCCGGGCCACTGGTGGAAACAAGACAAAAACTCCCGGTCCTGGTGCTCAGTCTGCTCTACGTGCCCTTGCTCGTTCTGGAATGAAAATTGGTCGCATAGGTAATGAATGACCTCTAATGGAATGAAATCTTACTGTATAGCTCTAGAATTGTAATGTGGCTGTAACTTAACACGTGATATTCATTTTTCAGAGGATGTGACTCCAATTCCTTCTGATAGCACTCGCAGAAAGGGTGGTAGGAGAGGTAGAAGGCTTTAAAGCGAATCATGGTATATGCTGGGGCCTGCTCTTCTCGTGGCTATATTGCTTTCTTTTACTTTCTAGACAGTATTTTATCATGATGAGGTTTAGGTTAAGTTGGACGTCAATTTTGGAATTATATTGAACTTCTCGACTATTGTCTTGTCCAAGGATTTTGCTTGAGTCAATTAAAATGTCATAGTTGCATACTTTTCCAATTTCTGCGTATTGCATCATTGATAGGGTGGTTATGACTGTTATTGAAAGTTGGCTTGACGACGATTTTTGCCTAAACTTATCCATCATGAGGTTCATTATGATCCGATGATCCCCTCCCACCATCTGCTCCAGTTAGTTTTAGGTCTTTATTGCACGTAAAGCTCTCCTTTATTGCGACGTGGGAATAGTCTGCCTTAGCGCTCGAAGCATCAAAAGTCTGGAGTCTTATTGTTTTAGTCGGGGCTTGGTCAATGCTATATAAATCTCACCAGCTTTGGGGTTAAAATTAACCAGCATCTCATTAGATGTCGGAAGCATGGTATGATTGGTACCAGATTAAAGTGGTTAATATCTAATCTGTCCGAAATGTTGGCTGGTAAAACTGGGTGACGAGCTGACGTTCTGAAGAGTATTGAAAATGGGCACGCGTGGGATCAACAATATGCTAGGGTGGATTTACGGAGTTTATTCATCTACCAATAGTGCTATCACTCCCTCTCCCTAATTGTTATCTTAGTAATTTCTCCTCTAATGACGTTTTAAAGAAGAGAGCTAAAAACAAGGCAATCTACATGATCCTGCTTCCTTAAGTTTTTAATAATATTTAAAACAAAGTGGTCAAGGCACCCAATAATTCCAGAATTGCAATTCGATTTGTAAAATACTAAAGGGTAAAGTCTATATGTATCTCGGATTCTTTCCAAATGCAGTCCGTGACTTGTAACCAGCCAGCCTGCATAAAGCTTAAGCTAAACTGCATTATCAACTTTCAGCTATCCTACTAGCTAACACCCACTTGGATGAACCTGAATGGTTTGTTTAAATATTGCAAATGAGATTAGTCTTTATCGTAAAAGAAAGTGGTCTCCCAGTCCATAAACAAGGGGCTGAAGAAGCAGCACTCCGAGAGTAGAGTTCACGCGATTGCCAGTTTTCATTGATGCACGTTCAACTGGAGGAAATAATATAATCTTCATAGACAAAACAAAACTATAGCATAAAGTAAAGGCCAATACATTTCATTTCTCTTGGTAAATACAATAAACTAAATACGACATTCACGTACAACACATTGGCGTGGGACTTTACTATTACCTCCCAACTCTAAAAGCCAACAAAGCATGTTACATTGCCAAGTTTCTTACTTAAACCAAACCCCAACCCATCCCTTCATGCCAGAACCCAAAGTAAGCCCAAAATTGAGAGCCCAAGCTTTACCAAGCCCAGCCCATTTCTTGTGGACCCAGAAAACCAGACCCTGACATCGTCGACCACGGGCCCACAAAGAGAGCTCATATCATCACTCCTGGTATTATAATAGATGCTATAGAAGGCAATTCGGGTCCTCTCAGCCTTGGCCGTGAAATTGAGGTTTGCACTTTGGAAAGTAGAGTTTGAATTTGGGGTGTAATGAATGTTCTGAGCCTGATCGCCAGCAAAGGCCATAACAGCAAGAGGCTGCTTGCACTTGTCATTGGCATGACCCAACAGGAAGCTCAGTCTGTAGTCTTTCTTCGGTGTTGTCTCAACCATTTGAGATATTATGCCTTCCTTTCCTGACACAAGCTCAACGGCTCTCCTCCCCTGTGGGACCGAGTAGTGATCCGAATCAATGTATCGGACCGCCCGGTTCGACTCCACCACCCAACCGGGTAGGGAAGATGTTTCTTCGTCCAGGTTCGTGGGGAGCAATACTCCCAGGGATGTGTTTCTGAACATCCACGGACCTTCTTCAAAGTCGCCATTGATTACTGCATTTTCTGCACAGTTCAACACACAAGTAAAGGTCATAACAAGTGTATTAGTATTTCACAATTCACCCCGCAAATGATGGTGAACTGATTTTTACCAAATGGTGTGCTTTTAAGTTTGAAAAATGGGCAAAAAGGAGCTTTGGTGAGGTCTACTCTTTTATGAAAGTAGCTAAAGAGAATCAATGATTGAAAACACCATATAAACTATCTCATTTAATGGAATCCAATGCTTCATCTACTATACTAGGACGAGCTTCTTCTATTCACTTCTAGTCCCCTAAGAATTTCTATTCAATTACAGTTGATGGCAATTAAAAAACCCAACAACTCCTTTTAATCCCACCTAATTCTCATGAATTATGCATACTACGTAAGCTTGCAAAAGTCAAGTTGACAATGTCCACAAATTTATTGTGGGCAAACGAGAAACGGTGCAAGGAAGGAAGGGGGTACTACCTTTGGGCTTATCAGGAGTGAAGAGCTTCTTAACAGCAACGTTATCAATGATGGGCCCACACGTGGGGTCATCCTCCATGCCGGGATTCTTGAACGCCAAACTAACCTTATCCCCTTCGGCGCTGAAGGCCCAGGCGTAAGGGTCCCACCCTTGGATGTTGTACAGTGTCTGCAGGTCTATGGTCTGTGATGCTGGTGGCACGGACACGTTGAGCGACTCAAGCTGAGCGCACGTGCGAGCCGCACTGAAGGTGACGGAGTAGATGGAGCCCTTCTCCACCGTTAGATCCTGCTTGATCTCAGCGTCGTTGCCAAGCCTCGCCGCGTGCCTACCTTGCGGTACGATGAGGATCATCCCACCCTGCTTTTGCCCCGACCGCACTAGCTCCACCGTCCCCGTCGACGTCCAGATCGGTATCTCGGTGGGGCCCTCCGCTATGGCCTCGCTCGGAAAGCCGTTCGATGGAGACGTCTCGAAATCCCCGTTCGGCACCAATCCTGCGTTTTTTTTTTTTTCCACCATTGATCAGAAATCCAATTCTAATACAATTAACACGACGTTATTGTCCTTCAAATGTATCAATGTTCCATAATTACATATTCATACTAAAGCAATTAAAAGCAATGCCTTGGAGCTAAAGTTCAATTCATGAGAATCTTGTTAATCTTCATCTAATCAAACTTGGCTTAAAGAAGCGATAAAGAATTTGGCATCTATCAAGCATATAGTTTAATCGACACTGAACTTCGATGGCGTCATTAACATTCCAACATACCATACTTTCAGATGAAGAAACCTAACACAGAATCTTTGAGAGCTTAATAAAGGAGCTTAGTTAGAATATATCTCTAATTATTAGGTTATGCTCTTTGGCAATAATCTTGCTTCTTCTTTTTTTAATCTTTTTCCAGAGATAGATAGATGTTTGGCCATTGCTCTTCTGCAATGAATATATATTATTATGTTTTTCACATTTTCTATTTTTGGTCTTGGTATTAAATCCTATCATTTTCAAGGGGCATGATATTCGGATAAGCTTATCCGAGTATCGGCCTCAAGTATGAGAAAGCCCATCCTAGAATGAAAGAACCAAAAGGAGTTAGCTGTTACCTTCCTATTTTCATTCAATACGGTTATGGTTTCCTTCGATTCCCTCCCATAAAACGACGGGAGAAGATGTTAACGACAACAAATTGGGGGCGCGGCGGTGGTCCAATTGCCTCAACACGAAACAGACCAGAAGCCGCGTTGAGCTAGTGGGCCCCAAAATAAGACGACACGATACATCACCGCCGTTTAGGAGCTGGCGTGGCTTTGCCCGCTTTACGGAAAGGCCCCTTCTTTTTCTTGAAAATCGGTGGGAAAAGGCGTGGGATATTTGGCGGGAAGCCTTATGTCAATAAGGTCATTTCGCATCCCTAGGAGAACAGGAAAGTTCGCATGCTTGGGACCCACATGCTTATTGGCTCGGCAACCGTTGCCCTCTACCATCATGCTAGGGGCAGCCTTAATGTTCCCATTTTTCTATTTAAAAAAAGCAACTCACTTTCTACTAATGTTTGACAGCTTTTCTTTTCTTTTTTCTTTTTTTTCACGTAAGCATGTTTAAAAACTTTTTAACACAATTATTATTAGAACTATACATATTCTGCATTTTCAAACTATGAACAGTTTTTAAACCACATTACTTTAAATGGTTCCCAAAAAAGGGTGGAAAATGTGAAAATGAAGCAAAGGAGCTGGGTTGATGGAAGAGTAAGAAATGACGAGCAAACCAATCAATAGGTGGGCAAGTGGGGTTGAACCTGGTGACCATGGTCATAGAAGTGGTCATATGGGTTTTGACGAGTTGGTCACTCAATATTTATTTCGCTTATCATTCAGCCAAGGCCAGTTGAATTACAGGTCAGGACCAAGGACTTAGATTCTTGAACTAAGCTCAAGCCCAAAACAGCAAATCGCATATCCTTAATCTTCCACGTCCAAACCAAGATCACCAGAATTCAGTAAAGCCAACCCCACTGGTTATTAATGGAAGCAGAATCACATGGAAATATAAATGCTCAGACTTTACCCCGCCCACACCCAGAAACATTCACTTTAACATGAACACACTGTAACAACACTACAAATATCAATCAAGATATATACAGTGTTCGTACTTGGTGCCAGAGTGTGGTGCAACAGAACAGAAAGAAAAGCCCCCAAAAATAGCAGAAATAGCAACCACATTGAAGCACATATGAGAAGTATCATATGGGAGAAGAGAAACTGGTACTTGAATCAGATCTCAGCAATGAAAAAGGGGGAAATACTCCCAAAAAAATGTATAACCCACTGTGAAACTCCTTCTGGTGCAAGAAAAGGAAAAGGAAAGCACCGAATTGACACAGACATGCACACTGTGAAGCAGAGAAGTTAAAGGAGAGGACATTACCATCATCTGCCATGGCTCTCAAAACCAAACGAGGAAGGAAAATCACGAAAATGGAGACCCATTTCATTCTCATGGAACTCCGAGCCATCTGCCACCAGTTATTCTGTCTCTCTCTCGCTCTATTGCGTGTTCTTGGTTGATATGAATACTCTGTTTTTGAGGAGCGTAGAGGCAAAGAGGGTAGAGAGGGGGAGAACGCGAGGTTCTCCTTTTATGCGCGATCGAGATACCCTCGTCCCTTTTTATGTTTATTAATATTTTAAATTAAAATCCATTATTTAAAAAATTAGTAATTTATTATGATTAGTTTTACTTTTCCGTTTTCTGAGGCCGCCGGTCTCATGGCGGGCCCGCTACACCACCCATTTTACGGCACTCGACAGTGCTCACAGGGGCTCAGCCGGTCAGGGGTACGGTCTCTCTGCTTTCTTGCCTTTCCATTTCTATTTTCCATTCACTCCTCACCTCAAGCATGAGATTATAATTTCAACAGTTTTAATTTTTATTACATAAAATATTTTTATTATTATTTTAATTACCGATAGAGGATAAAATTTAATACTCCTCCAATCCTTAATATAAGATATACTCCTCCGGTCCTAATTATAAGACCCGATTGACTTATTTGAGGAGATTAAAGAAGTAAGTTAAGTTGGTTATTTATAATAAATAAGTGTTGTCATTCCTAAAATATCCTTGCTAATTAAATATATTGGCTAAAACTATCATTATTAGAAGGATTATCTTGGAAAAAAATGTATAAATATAAGAGATAAAATGGATTGGGGTCTTATAATTAGGACCAAATAAAAAGTCAAATTGGATCTTATAATAAGAACCAGAGGAGTATTTAATTAATTTGATTAGATTAAAAAAATTAGTTAATTATAAAAAATATAATATGTTGTTTTCAAAACACTATAATCATCTTTTTTAATATTATTCCTTCCTCATTTACTTGATTATGATTGAGAAAATATCTATAGAGGGTAATTTATAAAAAATTAATAAATATGAGAAATAGGTCTTATATTTAGAACTAAAATTAATTTAATAATTAAGTCTTATATTAAGCACCGGAAGAGTAGTTTAATTTCATTCATTTACTTTTTAAAAAATTTAAAATTTTATCCATGTTCTTATAAAATATAAAATCTCGACCATTCAAATTCTTAACACTTAATAACTATTTAACAGTTTAAATGCCTTTTATCAAGTACGACACTAATTTTTTTTCTAGGAACAAAATGATATTAATTAATAGAAATATTATGAAGCAGCATAAGAAATTATTGGATAAGCACGTAATTCTAACAATTTTTTCCCTAAAAAATGCGATGAAAGAAAAAGATTGCAGCATTGTAGGGATAAGCTGGCATACAGTATTTATATGAGTCTTATGCCAGGAGGCAAAGCTGATGAACTGGCTTTTTATACAGATGATTTCCAGCCTGCCTCTTCTGTGCGATGGATATATTCCAGTTTTATAAATCGAGCAAAAAGCACGCGGAAGCATAGCAGCAAGAAAGTATTGTTGCCAAGTTATATAATTCCCGCAGGAGTTTTAATTTGCCGCATAAGTGAGCCGTTTCTACAAACTAATACTACCCCTATCTTTAATATAAAGGTTAGTTTAACTTTTATTTTAGTTTCAAATATAATATCCCAATTTATTTTGTCTCTTATATTTATTTATGTTTTTTAAAATAGTGATAATGGTAGTTCTAGCTAATACACTTGATTAGCAAAAATATTTTAGGAAGGACAACACATATTTATTACAAATAACTAATTTAACTAATTTTTTTAATATATTCAAATTAATTAATTAGTTTTATATGAAGAACCAGAGGTAGTATACAGTAGGAGTTTTTAGAAAGTTTCTATTTGTAATGGATGATGGATCATCCTCCACGCTTTGCCTAATTCACAAGGGAGCCTCAGGGAAAAGAGACCGACCTATTTGGCGACCCACTATTATTACAAAAGCTAGTATGCTGCAAGTAATGTGTGCTTCTCCTAGAGCTATCTGACTATTCACCAAATACTTTCTTTTAGAATCTGAAAAGGTGAAGCGTTGTGTGATGGTTTATTGCTCTATTTAAATTTTCATTTTTCCGAGTTTGGTGTTTGATTCCACACCTCTTGAGCTTTGTTTTTGCTCGAAGTCGAAGGCTTCTTGAGTTCGAATCTTGCGCCCTAACACCGGTGAACACTAAACTCACTTGTATTTTTTTTTTTACTGTAAAACAAAAAAAAGTTAAAATACATCCAACGTCTTGAAATGTTTTTTCAGATGCATTTAACATCTCGAAGTATTTTGTAGTATATCCAGCACCTTGAAGATTTTTTTTTTGCTTTAATGTTGCATGCACCAAAAAAATTTATTTTAGATACTAAACGCACATTAAAAAATATTTCAAAGTATTATATGCACAAAAAATAAAAATTTTAGGATATTGGATGCACTTATACTTCAGGGTGCTAAATGCTCTGGAGAAAATATTTTATGGTACTAGATATAGCTTAATCTAAATGGGTTGAATGTATAATATGGCTGATCGACTTTTATTCATAAATTTCCAAATATTAAAAAATAATTTAAATGTTACAATTCATGAATAAAATTATTAATTTACGTAATAGCACAATATGACGTATTTGGAGCCCACAAAGCATCACCCAAAAAATTTTGTCCACTGTCATCTTCCCTCCTAGCACATCCTTTATTTTTTCCCCCCTTTTGGCCTTATTCTTTCCAAAATTTCCTCCTTTCTCTCCTCTCATAGTACGTAAAAGGATGTTTCCTTTGAAGAGCTTCATAAAATGTTATGTAGCCTGCCTTATATGATTTTATTTTATTTTTTATTTTTTTTTGAAAAAGAGCAAACATGATGAGGTTTATTTCAAAAGAACGGAACAGGCTATTATAGAAGAAAGTCGTCACGGTGAACAGATGGCGGCAGCCTACAAATGGGGCAGCCATGGCCAAAAATCAAAAGGTGTAAGGACAAATTTTGAAAAAAGAAAATCAAATGATGATGATATTGCCATAATATAACCAAGGGAGAAAATACCTCACCTTTTTTTTTTTTTGGCATTTTAACAACCGATTTAAGATTTGGCCTCTGTCCATTTGTCTTTTCTCCCCCACCTTCTCTCAACTTCTCATCTTAACTATTAAATCAAACTCTAATAATTCAAATTTAATATTTTATAAAATTACTATTAATAATTAAAATGATAAACCATGAATAAATGAATCCAGACCTGTTAGGGATAAATGCCCTATTGAGAAATTAATTGACAAATGGGACCTAAAAAGATCAGTTGCACACCACGGAAGATCAATTGCACGCCATGGAAGATTAGTTGCACGTACATGGAAGATTAGTTATATGCACATGGAAGATTACTTGCACCAAAACCGAAGATCACTTGCACACGATGAAAGTTCCCTTGCACAAAACCCCTAAAGCCCATTTGATAATTAATTTCTTAATGGGGTATTTATCCCCAATTTTCCCAAAAAAATAACTGTTTTATGAAAAAAGTGTGTTTTTTTTTTAATGCCGTAGAAATCGTCTGTTGGAAGTTTTCGGCCCAATAAATAATTCGAGGGGTTGTATCTAGTTGCGTCACAATAGTTGTTGGGCCGGACTAGGATTTTGAGCCTGGGCTTAATCAGAGTGCATCTAAATAAACAAAGAGGGACATTGGTCGGAAAGAACAGCGCGCCGATACGATGACTTCGTCTGCCGCCCTTCGAGATGCTCAACGCGACCTGGAAAACAAAGCGAACGATCTCAGCAAGCTTCAAAAGGGCAAGCTTTTTTAATTCCTCCACCATTTATTGCAATTTTCATTTTTCAATTTTTTATGTTCTCTTTCGTTATATTTTGTTTATTCGATCAGATATTGCAAAGAATCACCAAGTGAGAAAGAAGTATACTATTCAGCTCGGGGAGAACGAGCTTGTCCTTAAGGTATAGGTTACTCTATCTATTACTTTCTCTCTCTCTCTCTCTCTTTAATTTTTATTTCGTTATTTTGTGCTGAAATGCTCTTGTGTGTTGTGTTTTCATATGTAACCTGTTCTGTTCCGGCAGGAATTGGATTTGCTGAGAGAAGGTGCAAATGTTTACAAGTTGATTGGCCCTGTACTTGTTAAGCAGGACCTAGCTGAGGCCAATGCAAATGTGCGCAAGAGAATTGAATATATCTCTGCTGAATTGTAAGTGTTGTTTTATTTTTCTAGTTAGCGGTTGTTAGAGCTGTGATTCTAATTATCTTCTTATTTGCTCAAGTGATCACGGGTTTACTAGATTATTGAGTGGAATTTCACGATGTTGAACACAACTACCTCTACTCCTTTATAGGGTTGACTTCATTATTGTAATTTTTTTTGAGATGTGGATAAAATAACTCTAATGAAAAATGGGCAAGTTATTCATGAACGTCAGTTTTTCCTCGTAAGACTTATTGTTAGCATCTTGGTTGATTATGCTGCTCATGCGTTCAATTGATTTTATAGGATTGTACATTGTGGAAAATAATGAAAAGAAGGTAGATACGGGAGAAACTACTCCTCCGTCTAGAGTACTAGGCTTCAGAAATGTGGTCTGAGTGAGAAAGGGAAACAAATTCAGCAGTCAGAAGATATTCAGTAGTGAGTTGCTTCAATGCTGTGATGAAAACTGCATGGAAATTTAATGTTTAAAGAACCTCCTCATTGACATTCAATCAATCTCTTGAATTCTTCTGAATCCGAGGACTCGTTCTCTACATATCACGATTAATGATCTTAGATGTGTTTTCCATATAGAACTCAGACAACCTAATAATACTAAGCTTTCAAATACAACACTATTTGACTAGCTGCCCCTACTAATTATTGAATAATTTTTATTCCAACCATCTCTCTCTTCCTGTATAAAACTTGTATACTAGACCTTTTCCTAGATTAGATGTGTAATATCTGCTGAAGCCTTTGTCATGTAGCTTCCTATTGCTTCATAGTGTGCTGTGGGTCAGTTTGGGTATTTAATTATGTGAATTCACAGCGTTGTATCCCATTCTTCTGCATCTTTTGTGATGCCACCTCTTCATTATGCTTTCATACTTTCAAGAATTAAATCATCAGTTGCTTACCAATTATATGATTATTGACTTATCTATGACTTATTTTTAAGTGCTTTCTTAACTTTTAGCTTAGATTGATGATTTTGAGTAATGAAGGCATATCGCAAGGATACATGTATGTCTTCATGTTATTTTTCACCTGTAATTAAATCTTACAATTCATTACGTTTTACCATTCATGATTTAGAACTGTACTTTCTGATTTGTGATGCATATCATGTTTCGACAAGTGTGCTTCCAATGTGGAAATAAAACTCTCTTGTCTTATTACTTTTTGGTTATATTAGGAATTTGGAACCCTAGTTACATTCCACATATCACCCCTACCTTCATCACATGGACTAGCCCCGGGTGGCTCTTGTTTTTATTACTGTAATACTATGGCTTGTGAAGTTTATTTTTTCTTAGGTGCTTCACAACCCCACGATGATTATTAATCATGAAGATATGTGAACATTCATCAGTTCTCTCCCCCTTATGCGTTTCCAGATTATTTGTTGCTAGGTTGCTGCGTGGTGTGGCTTTCACTGCTGTCATTTTGCCATATTTGAGCTAGTTTTAGTACCTCAAAGTCAGACTACGGTTTTTCTTATCACTATCACATATATTTATTTAGAAATGGTCCTTTTGAATGTTAGGAAGCGTCTTGATGCTACCCTTCAGGATCTGGAAGAGAAACAAAATAGCAAGAAAGAAACGGTTTGTATATTACTTTTGTGCCCGTTTATTAGCTGTGGTTTCACATTTCTTATGATCTATATTGAAGTATTTGATCTTTGATTGTGACCAGTAACTAGAATCTTTGCATAATATGGACGTTTGTTTTATTTGTTGAAATTTGATTTGTATATATAATAATCTCATTTTAAGAAAACAAAAATATGACGGCTTGTATGATATGTGGTTATTCTTTGGGAATGGTCGATAAGATGAACTTAAAAGAATCAACAGATGATTCATTGTATCATTTTCTTTTCATAATCTCGCAGATCCTAAAATTGCAGCAAAGGATTCAGTCGCTCCAAGCCGGGAAAGGCAAGGCGTAACGTTCCTTTCCATGCTGTTTAGGTGACGTCTATGGAGTTGCTATTTTCAACCCGGCCAAGCTGGAAAATGCTCATATGCCATTTGTTTTAGGGTTGTTTGCGCTGTGAAGTATTATTAGGTTGACAGTGTATTTTGTCATAGTTAGTGTGCCTATCTTAATTTCTTTTTGTTTTGCAATTTGGGCTGGATCCTCCAGGTATTGTAACCACTAATTATACAGAAGTTTGAACTAAGATATGACTCTTTTCTTCACACCCCTCCTGTTCTTTTTACCGTTTTCCTCCTTTCTTCTTTAGCATATTTATATTGCTCTAGGGCAGAATGGTGATCCCCATAAAGTTGGTGCTGGAAATTATTACTCTCTAAATTTGCATTTTAGGTTTAGGTTTTTCTTAAAATGGGTAATTATTCTTTTTGGACCAACTCCTTAAACGGGTAATTCGAATCATGCCTTTGATGGACCTTGTCTTTATTGTGGGTGGAACAGTGGGGTTCAGTTTCTTTTGAGAAGTCTATTGTGGCCAGCAAGCATTAAGGCTAAAACCTGTGACAATTGAATTATTGGTGAGGGCCAAGAAGTGGAATGAATTCCTTCCACTTTCTAGCTTCCTACTTTGGGCCTCATTCTTTGTTAGTTGGAGATAGAATCAAGAAACCATTGAAAACGAGAGTGAAAATTTCATCAGATTAATAGTGAAAGTGTGTTAAACAATCGTTTTTGGTAGACAAAACTATGAACAACCTTCTGCAGCCGTTTGTAGTTGTGGCCGCGGCTGAATGTAAATAAAAATTTTCTATATGAAGTAAATGCTAGCTGCATTTTAGTATATCACTGCTTCCCCTTTAACTTCTCTCCAGTCAATCTATTTTCATCAGCTTCCCGGAAAGATGAATGACGGGTGTATACTAGTAGTACAAGGTAGGAACAACACGCCCCTCTTTTCATTAATGCAATGGAATGTATTATTCGTATGTCTGTAAAATTAAATTGTACTAATTTCTCTCAAGACAAGGTGATAAATTCTAGAATGGAAATCATCCAAGAAATTGTGAATCTAGGAGTCATAAAGCAAGATTGCGAGACAAAAATGGCCACTAATATTACCACTACCGTACTAGTCTAGAAATGTCACGCCCCATTCAGAAGTCCCATCTGGGTCATTCGATCAAAGTGGGGAAATTACCGGGGGAGCAAATGATGGTAGCTAATCTACAGAATCTCGTGAAGTTGCAAGAAAATTACTAGCTTTAGCTACCTAGATGATGCTCTTTAATTGATGCTAGTGGGGTTTAAGTATCACTGTCTTCTCAAAGGATCACTCATTTGAACTCCCAATGCGAACTCATGGAGAGGGGCTATCAAACAAACTTGAAGCATTTTCGGGTGCACCAAGCAATTTGGCTTTTTGGTCGGGCCATGATTCCAAATATTAATAATGATTATGAGAAGTTACAAAAGGTTACATAAAAACAAGGTTTCCCAGGACCCTCCAGGCTCCAGCAGGCGTCTCCAGATAGAGAACAGTAGAGACGAAGGATCTGTGAAACTTATCAAACCTTTGTCCCTCCCTCAACCTAGAGGGTCCTGCACTTAAAAAATATCTTATATAGAATTGAGAACTACATGTATTTCTCGGAGCTATTGTTTACATCGTCATCCACATATTGTATTTAGGATGGATATCTTTGATAAATTTATAACTTTAACAAATAACAATTGCTGCCTTTTGGTGGCCTAAGGATGAATTATTTGCATAATATATATGAAGCCTCCAGATTATAGCTAAACTTGAACCATGAAGGTCATTTTCCATCTTTTATTTTGATCTCTCTTTCATACTATCTTTTTCTTGTTTTGGATGATTGAATAAAACTTCAGCATTTGGTTAGGAAATGAAACGAGAATATAAATAAATTTTTTAAAGAAGGGGGAAATTGCAATGAATCTGGACAAGATATATGCTATTAGTTCAATGAATTTCATTCCTCTCACTTTTCCTTCGTTAAACAAAACCTTAAAAACCTTGGATTCCTTGAGGCTGTCTGCAAAAGGCGAACATCCATATATCCAAGGGCCAGCACGAATATATATTCTCTATTGTTAGATCTTTTGTCTGGCTTTCATTATTGCAATTATCTCAGTCCTTGTTCATATCAATCTTGATTTAGCTTGTATGGGCTTGCTTAGCGGTTGAATTTGAATATGTACTGGTCATTTCATTCCATGAAAGAAGTAACCACAGACTATAGTTAATGGAAGAATAAACATGCTTAATTAGACCAGTACGAATTAACATAGCAATTGCGTTCATTGCATGAAACAACTTGCGAAAGTTGCTTCAGCAAAATGAGCATATTTGAAGAGATTCACGTTTTCATTCCGTAGATTGGACATTATGGTTTAAACGCAACTGATATGAATGATGTTGCATCAGTATGCACTTCCCAGAATTGTTCACGTGCTTGTTCATCTGATAGACAACATCCAAGTGATAATATCTCTAGTGGGGTTGGCACCAACTTACCATCAATCATGAATACATGCTTGACCAAAACTTGCAGAAATTACTTTCATGGCAGATCCCACTAGTTACCACCAAAGAACAAAGGAAAGGTGGAGGCAAGGACTATGTCAGTGCATAATATTAAGTAAAAGATATTCTGCTCTACTTTTTCATTGTGAGGTTTGGTTGGAGTTACCAGAAAACAAGATCTTTTTTTTATGTCCTGCAGTGAAAAGTATGTCACAGTGAAAATTAGAGCTGTGAGCTGAACTCCAGGGGAAAAGAAGCTGGTAAAAAGTTATGTAATGAAGATTCAGGGAGCTGGTAAAAAGTTATATAACGAAAAAGTTTATGTCATCAGTGAATAATATCAAGCAAAAGATGTTCTCTTCTACTTTTTCACTATGAGATTCGGTTGAAACTAACAGAAAACAAGATCTTTCTTCATGTCTGCCAACAGTTAAAAAAATTGTGGTGCATTAAAAAGATGCTGGTCAAGAGCTATATAATGGCTAACTACTGAGTCAGCAGAAAAAAGGCCATCTGGGAAACAGTTTAAAACCTATCATTAGTATGTAGAAAATGGATCATAAGGTGAACCATACCATGCTATTAGTTATATTTCTAGAAAGTCCTAACAGTTGACGCTTCATGCTTGTATACATGGAGGTATGTGTGAAAGACTATACCTTTTGCTAAAAGTAGAAAATTGGCACCGTTTTATGTCAATAATTTTCAATTATATTTTGAAGATGAATACTTAATGCAGAAACAGCATGTGCCAACTGCCAACTGCATGTTCGCCTTTTTAGAAACTGCTACTTTTATCTTGGACATATTGTATCTTTAGAAGCTGTTTCCTAAGAAATTCCCATTAAAATAAACTACATTTAGGAATGCCAACAGAAATGAACAAAGCAACTGAGCTATCTCAAAGTCATGTTGTATTCCATTATTAACTGCTCATAGACCTAACATCTCAGAAATATCTTATACCTAGCACATCCACATACTTAAGATTCATTCAAGCTTACCTTCTTACATTCGGACACTTGGAAGTAGCCAATCAAAACCTATTTATGACATTATTGCAATAAGACCACACGCGCGCACGCACATACACACTAATTGCCAGCCTACTATCCATAACCTGGGGTAAGGAGCATCACACGTTGCCCAAGTACAGCATACTGAATCATTTCCTTTCCCCAAGGAACTGTCCAAAATTGCAGCATGCCAAGTTGCAATGAGGACGAAACCAACTTCTTTGACAGAGTTAGTAAATGGATTAATCTAACTATAGATAGACATATGAGCATGAAGATTACAAATTAATGCAATGGGCCAGCATGGGAGTAACAGAGGCCAGTGGAAGTATTGCTGCTGGATTCTTGCCTAAATAAATCAAACGTACTAGAACCTGTTCACTTGAAAATATCTAGCAATCTAGGTAAAATATACCTACCATGCATGCTAGTGGTGATGGAAGTGTCAAAAAAAAAAAAAAAGAAAAGAAAGAAAGATGACATCAAGTACAATGCAGTTTCATTACCCCACTAAGAAGAGCAAAATTATGACCTTAAGTGTTTCTATATATCCTTCATAATCATAAAAAGCTTTATAGGAATATTGTTTCTAAACGAACAGAAACAATTGTTCCAACATCGTTTTCTCTGCATGTTGGGTCTGTACAGCTTCTATCATAAGCACAATCTTTTGTACTATATTTGATTAGAAGATATACACTACATTGATACTTCAAAGGAATTTCACTGTACAGAGCACTGCTTCTTTAAGACTCCATATTTGTGTAGTCTGCTTCATAGCCGTCAAAGCATTTTACTGATAGAACTCCTCCACTAAATGAAGTACTCAAGAATTTGGGATACTCATTCTTTCCTCTTTTTCTTTTTGGACTTTTCATCCCTTCGTACGTTCAGATTATCATTAGGAATTTAAAAAAGCCAAGGAGATTAGTTTGAAATGAGAAATACCAAAGCTCACAGTTCCCTTTGCACATGGTAGTGTTCTAAGTGATTTCTGTTCTGGATATAAATGGAATTATTAACAGACATACGACCTGGATTACGTGTGTTCATGATTTTTCACGGACCAGAAGCTTCTCATGCAAAGAACACACGCATATTTCTGTGTGTTGCTGGTGGCATGTGCATGACAAGAGCATCACAGTCACAGAACCTAATGAATTAATGGTAAATGTTAACGAAGAAGGGATGGGAGTATTGGACCACAGTAAAACTGTGCCATCACTTTCACCGAGGAAGATGAGTCTCAACTTTTTTCTGAGGCCTATCACTCCTCACCCCAGATTATGGGTGACAAGTTCAGATTTCATTCTCTTGTCCTCTTACCTTTAGAAATCTAATTCTCACTCAAACGCACCTTTAAGAAATGTTCAATCTTTTTTTTTTTTGCGTATTAACAACCAACCACTGAATGGAGTCAATAAGAGCCTCTTCCTGTCTACCTTTTTATTGTCATTTCCAAAAAGAATGGCGCCAATGGTATTCATGAGCCTTAAATAATCCTTATCAAGGCCAGCGAAATATTCTCTGCAAATTTGTAAGGCATGTACTTTCTGTCAATTAATGATTTAGAGAGCGAGAGAGAGAGTGTGTGTCTAGATTAGCATATTTGACCCTATATGATAGGTTTCCCGTG